CTCGGCCTTTTCGAGCGCAGGGAACGCAAAACACCCGGCAAATGCCTCACCAGCCCCCCCTCCTTGGTCAGCGTCCCGCTGAGCCTCGGCGGGGCACCGGGAAGGACCCTGCGGAGCTTTATTTGGGTGGGACGGGAGCGCCCTCGAAGCCAGACACAACACCGACGGTGTCGGCGTGGGGGTGCCAGTCGCGCTCCTTGGGGGGGATTCCTTGCTCTGCCGTGGGCCCGCCCTGAGAGAACAGAGCTCTGCAAGTGTGTGCAGGGCCGGGTCCTGGCAGGGGGCAGGGGGAGCGGCCACCGACACCTCCCGGCAGCCGGCGGGCAGCGCGATCCGGCACAGCCCGCAGGGATCCGGCACAGCCCGCAGGGAACACCGGCACCGAGCCAGCCTTTGGACAGCCGAGAGGGGAAAAAGCTGCCCGGGCAGGAGCTCCTGAGCTCGCCTGCGGAAGGAAGCGGCGTTGAGGGCTCGGGGCTGAACGAGCCAAACAACGCTCGGGATAAACCTTCCCGGCTTAGGCAGAAAAGGGCAGGGACTCAGAGCTGACAAAGTACAACCTCCCGGGGGTCGAACAGCAGGCTCGCCGTGTTTGTAAGGGACAGAGCCCCGCGCCTCGTCTGTGCTTATGGAAGCAGAGAACAATTAGCTTAGGAATTCTCTCTAAACTGCGAGGGGAACGCACCCAAACTCTGGGAGAGGACAACCTGAAGGCATTAGCAGCGTGCGGGAGGGCAAGGACAGCTGGGGTATTTACCACACGTAATAGGGCTGTCTCAAGGATTTTAAAGCCAGAGAGTGTCTCAAAGGGGCTGAGAGACAGGCAATGCAACGAAAGGCTGAGGGAGAATGTGTTCGTGTTCCTGGGCTAAAGGAAATACTGAAGTCTCTGATGGGATCTAAAGCAGCCGAATGCTAGTTAGAGAAAAATTTTAACGGCGCTGCTACGATGCTGTTTTTGCGAGTAAGCGAAACAAGATACTTAGGAAACATTTAATTTTAAATTCAAGGCATTAACGCTGGTTTATTCCATCATTATGCAGCGAGACAAGCTTTAAAACAGTGTATCTGAAATCCCAGGAGGGCAGCTGAGATGGGTTTTCCAAATTATTACCTGAAGATGGCTCAAAATATTTGTACATTTTGTAGATTAGGAGAAAACCGTACGGTGAAAATACATTGATTGAAGGTCAAAAACCAGGTAACATGCCTGGGGAGCAGATCTGGGATAAACACCAGTCCCCCACCTCTTCTCTGCAGCTAAAGGGTGGTCTGGTTGGTGTTTTCCCTGCCATTTAAGGAATTTATATACTACAGAAGAGCAAGTGCTCTATAAAATTAAAATATTTTTTAATTTTATACGGTATGTTTTATATATGTTCATCTATGCATCTCCCTGGAGGTGCTCAAGGCTGGATGGAGCTCTTAGAAACCTGGTCTAGTGGAAGGTGTTCCGTACACAGCAGGGGAGTGGGACTGGATGAGCTTTAAGTTCCTTCCACCCCAAACCATTCTGTGGCTCTATTTTATACATACAAATGAGTAAACATGTATGTGTATATGAATAGACTATATTTAAAGTCTGTATTCAGAGGTGTTTCAGCCTGCAATCTTAGCCCCCCACAACCACGTGGGTCACTTCGTGCCCCTGTGGAGCAGTTTTGCCACAGGTGAAGACATCCTAAGAAACTATTTCCTTTTTTTCTTTTTTCGGTCCAGCTCAGCTCTCTGATTCGAGCTATTAGTCTAGGAGAGTGTGGTGTGTGATAGGAATAAGCAGGTCTGCAGCTTCGTAGGTGACAATGGCAAGACAGCTCCATTACGGTGAAACCTAAAAGAACACAACAAGTCAAAAGCAATCAACAAGGCTCCCATATAAAATGGCTCCTGCCTTACACAAGGTAGGGCAGGGAAGGTGCTAGAACAAAAGGAGGAGTTCAGGCAGAGCATGCAAACTATAATTATAAAGAGAAGACATAACCATACGTGGATAACTGCTGCAATGCACCAAATACAGGTCAATAGGAAAACAGGGTTTACACACATGAGAAATAAGAGATAATACATGAAAGGATAATACAATAAAATACAACATAATACAACATAAAACTTTAAACACGTATTCTCAGACTGTCCATAACAGTCCACGTCTGCTTGTCTTCGTGAGGAGGAATGTGTTTGTCTTTTGGGTATCTCCAACAGGAGAGGTTGTGGATAAAGGCAGTTCTGACAGAAAGAAGCACTGAGCTTCAGTAAGGAGAAGCACAAAACCACGTTAGAAAAGTTAGAAATTAAAGGGGGGGTGTGAATATCGGGATTGTAGCAGTGAGAAGTTACCCAGACACCCACAGAGCTGTGCTGGTGTGAGTACTCTGCAATATACTCTTAAGAGTTGCTACAAGCACCATTACTACAGAGACCCTCCAGCAAACACTGTGGAACCATTTCATTTGTGCTGTAGCAGAGAGCGTTTCAACACTGTGTGACAAATAAATAATTGTGATTCGTGAAAAAAACGGGTGATTACATCAAAATAAAACAAACGGATTGGAAAACTTAATTACACCCCCATAAAGAAATAAAAGAGACCCTTACAAGGTCAAGAAGCCCTAAACCTCCCTACTCTCCTAAAAATAAAATATGGGTTTTTAGGCACCTGTTCGTCCAAGAATGCATGAATTATGACTGGTTGAAGAGATAACCCTTTTAGCTTTAGCTGTAAGAAAACCTATATATTAAATACTTAGCAGAAACCTGTAGAATGTATATGTATACGATATTATTAATATGCATGAAGCAGCTAAGATAAATACTAAATGTACCCTGTAGTAGGTGTGCAGATTTGGGAAACTGGTCCCCATCTCTGTCACCCAGCCGGCTGCTTGCTTTTTCCATATAATAAACTCTTATTCAAAAACTTATAGAAACTCGAGACTTTGTTTATCACAAGTGGTACATCAAATGCCTGAGAATGGGGCTGCTTGAGGCTTCTTCCACCCCACTGTCACCCAGGACAGGCCAGAGGGCCCAACCACAGCCCAGCCTTAACCCCTTGTCCTGTAAGACAGCACCTCTCCTGGAGACTTTGCCAAGTGTTCCTGTACCTTTGGAGCACCACAGAAACACTCCTTTTGGGAACATTTTCCATACTGAAAGAACTCGAGTCTCTGAAGCTGAGGTGTCAGCAGCAAGCAGGTCTGGGGAAGGCTTAGTTGGAGATTCAGCAGAAGTCTAACCCCCAGACCACGCTGTGGGGAAGCTAAGGCATAAAAAAAAAACTAACTTCCAGGGGAACTTGGAACTCTTCTGAAAAATGTCAAAATGTCGGATGTAACCATCCTCTGCTGCCACTTGCGGGGAGTAGGCACAGAAAAGAAGCCAATCCCACAACCTTTTGGGGTGAAAGCAGCTAAAAGGTTTTATTGCTTCAAGGGAAGAGGACCGAACAGGGGCAGGGGAAGGGTAGAAGAAGCTGTAATGCAGCAATGGCTCTCGCCTTGTATACTGCAGGGTAGGGAAAGTACTGGAACATAGGAGGAGTTTAGGCAGAGCATTCAAATTAGAACCACACAGGGAGAACGTAACCATATATGGCACTACACAAACAACTGACCAATGAAACATGGGATTCACATTCATAAGGAATAAAGCATAATCCATATAAAGCAATATAGTACACAATAAACTAGATGTGGAATTTACAGTTTCCAAACCCCAACAGAAACAAACCGTAAAAAACTTCTAAAGAGAAACTTGCCAACTGTCCCAACCTGCACAAATCCCCCTAATTTCAGCTTGTCTCAACACAGTGACAACATGGGCCTGAGAAACACCAGCTCCTCCCCAAAAAGGAAACCGGGTCCCTACACCCCCAGAGGGAGATCGCCAAGGCACTACCCACCCATCCACCCACAGACCCCCCCACAAACCCCTCCAAACTACACTTGGTCTCACCACAGCGACGCAGTCCCATCTGCTGTCCCTTTTCACACAGCACTGTACTCCCAGAGCAAAGGGACTGCAGTTTCAGGGGGGCAGGACTACACTACGCAGTTGAGGGAGCATCTTTGGGATTTCACTACCTGAAGACAACACAGCTCTAAGGAAGCGGCTCTTTCTTTCAGAATATAGCATTTAACTCACTCTGTTTACCAGTGTGTAACTCCCTGTTATTGTAACAGTGGGTCTCCTACCAGTTCTCCTTCTGGCTTCAGCACTCTCCATTCTCTACTGAAAGGGAGATGCTTTTCCTCTTACAACTTTCACAGTCTTCTTATAACCGCTGTTTTGTTTTTCTTTTTAGAACACCTTCTTGTCAATTGTCTCCCCTCTCTTACCATCTGTCAACTTACAGGATCTTTTTGTTTTCTCTTTTCCATCATTTCCCCCCAAGGGGCGCTTGAGCTTTCCGCCAACATCCGATATCCATTATTATTAGTAAATCACAATGTTCTGTTTCTTCTGGAAGCACTATTCCTGGTCTGTTGGAGATGGTTTGCTGGGTCTTGCGCTTCCTTAATTTTTTGGTGAGCTACTAACGTTGCAGTGTGCTTGGTTGTGTCGTCTGCAATAGTCTTGAGGACAACAGTATTATTTTCATAATTCACATTCTTGTTTAAATTATGTCTGTGATTTCTGATTAGGCTTTTCAAATAATTATACATTTCAGTCGGGGCCCCCGGTGGTCTGTCTAGTGGTTAGGATGCAGCACTCTCACCGCCGCAGCCCGGGTTCGATTCCCGGTCAGGGGACTTCCCCGGGCAGATGGAGCTCGTCAGCCCTGGAAGGCCATCCATCAAAGAGAAGGTCACTCTAAACAAACCTACGTCCTGAGGACCTCGCTGCCACCGTCTGAGCTTGCTCAGCCCCGGCAGATGAACCTCAGGATTAAAGGGTGGGCTCAGTTCAGTGCACACTGTGTCTCACCTGAAAAATCCACTGCGCAGGCTGGAAGGGTAAAGACCTTTCCCAAATCTTCGTTCGGGAAGACTGGCCATGAAAAACATTTCAGTCTCTTCCTTTGAAGGGCGAGCTCCCATATTACTGTTAGTTAAAGAAGGGGCACTTAAAATTTTTGTTCACCTTTCCGCATTGAGTGTTCAGCTGCGAATGTTGCAGCTCTTGAGGCGAGCAGGCGAGTTCTCTCTGTTCGAGAGACCTTCCAGCTGCTGCTGTTGTTGTCACAGTTATTACCACTGGCTCTGTATCACGTTGGGGTCACCACCTGGGGGAGTTGGGTAAGCAAAAGAATCCAATCCCACAACCTTTTGGAGTGAAAGCAGCTAGAAGGTTTGACTGCCTTCAAGGGAAGACGACTGAACAGGTGCAGGATAAGGGTAGAAAAAACTGTGACACAAAATGGCTCCCACCTTATATACTGCAGGGTAGGGAAGGTGCCAGAAAAAGGGGTGGAGTTAAGGCAGAGTATTCAAATAATGACTATAAAGAAAAACATAAATATGCATAAAACTGCACCAAAATTGACCAGTGAAAATGCAGGACTCGAAAACAAAAGGAGTACATATAAAACTATAAAACAGACAGTAAACTAAATATGGAATTTAAAATTTCCAACCCCCAACAGGTGACAGGGAGGTGCCTTTGCCCAGAGGGTCTCTATCATGCCCCATCTTGAGCTCGACGCCGCTGCTCTTCTTATTCTTGGTTCTTCCCTCGAAGGTCCACTCATGTCCCTTCTTTCTTCTCCAACGGCTTCTGTCAAGGCAGGAGGACACAGTTGGGCATGAGAAACACCAGCTCCTCCCCAAGAAGGAAACCCACTCCCTACAACCCAGAGGGACATCTCCAAGCCACTACCCACCCACTCACCCACAGGCCCCCCCACCTCCACAAACCCCTCCAAACCTCACTTGGTCTCACCACAGCGACGCAGTCCCATCCGCTGCTGGGAGCCGGGCCCTCTGGGCAAAGGCAGCTGGGCATGCAAAGCAGTGGCCAAAGAGGCTGCACCCCTGCTTACAGGGGGCTCC